AAAGCCACAGAGAAACTCTGTCTTGAAAACCAAAAAAAAAAAAAGAAGAAGAAGAAGAAGAAGAAACCTGAGCTAATAGGCTAAAGAGTATGTAGTTAATATTAAGCCTCGGAGTGGTTATTTTACAAGTGGCTTTGGGAACAGGCAGGTGGAGAAAACCGATCCAGAGAAACCAGCAGGAGGAAAATAACTGTAGCTACAGATCCTCTCTACCACCCCCAGAAGTTCGATGCAGGGTAGGAGAATGGAATCACATAGCACAGAGGCAGCCAGAAAGATCAGGTGCCATTAACTTGCTCAGTTAAAAACATTATTTCTGATCGGTGGTGGTGGCATGTGTCTTTAATTCCAGAGCTCTGGAGGTAGAGACAGGCATATAGCTCTGTGAGTTCGAGCCTCAGCTTTTTTGAGTAGTTTGGAATTATAGGTGTCCTATTTTCCCCATTCCTGATTAGATCTAAAGGTTAAGAGTCAGCAGGAGCATCAGGAATTTAAGGTCAGCTTCAGCTATGCGGGGTGGGGTGGGGCAGGAGTTGAGGCTGACCTGGGCTACAAGAGATACTCAGAAACCAAACAATTTAAAGCTTATAGAACACAAGAGTCAGCTGGGCAGTGGTGGTGCACGCCTTTAATCCCAGCACTTGGGAGTCAGAGGCAGGCAGATCTCTGTGAGTTTGAGGCCAACCTGGTCTACAAGAGCTAGTTCCAGGACAGGCTCCAAAGCTACAGAGAAATCTTGTCTCGAAAAACCAAAACCAAACCAAATAAACAAACAAAAAAACCCCACAAGAGTTTTATAATGTCCTTTTCAATGTCACCATGGACCCTCTATTGTCTATATTCTCAGTATTCATTAATCCATCATTTATTGAATGTTATGGACACTGTGAGCTAGACAGACTTGGTTCTCACGTAGCTTTCACTTGTACTACTCAGTGGAATGTGGTAAGCTTAGCTTCAAGGTCCTCAACTCACTCTGGTCTAGGAGATCTGCCCTCCCTGCCTTCCAGTCTAGGTGGGACTAAAATGCCAACATTATAAAGATAACACAGAGATTAAATATGAAGATTCCTTTCAGTGTGTGTCTAAGGAATGTAAGGTGTGTTTGAAAAGGCAGACTTTTTTTTTTTCTTCTGCCTAAGGTCCTGGGTGGAGAATAGGGCTGGGTCAAGGGTGGAACCTTGTTTTGAGTGAAGATTGGGTGGGTTCTTTCGGGCGTTTCTGAGGAGGGGGCAGCCTTCACTTATTTATTATTATTATTAATACTATTATTATTATTATTACTTTTATTATTATTATTATTACGGTTTTTCGAGACAGGGTTTCTCTGTAGCTTTGGAGCCTGTCCTGGCACTCATTCTGTAGACCAGGCTGATCTTGAACTCACAGAAATTCACCTTCCTCTGCCTCCCGAATTCCGGGAGCTAGGATTAAAGGTGTGTGCCACCACCGCCCCGCTCTTCGCTTATTATATAATTAGGAAAAAAAAAAGCTTTTTCTTTTTTTTTTTTCTTTTCTGCAGCGAGCAAGGTTTGGGATTGGAAGTTTCCCAAATGGCTTCCAAAGGTAAGTTCCTTGCATAGGGACCACACTCTGGCTTTTGTAGCTGGCTATTTATCTGATGCTCTACCCAGGAATGTCTAACCTTTGATATTTTGATTATTCATCTACAGATGTGTTGGGCTGCATTCATCCCAGCACATTCTGCCTACAAGTTGGGCATGCCTGCATCTGGGCTTTTGTTTGTCTGTTTGTAGGGATGTGAGTTACCATTTCTCCTTTTTTAAATCTCTTAAAAGTAGTTTGTAGAATAGAGGCAGCTCTTATAAACAGTGTAATTGCTCCTGTCTGCTGCCTGGTGAGGTGGTTGGTGGGAATTTCCCCAGAGACTCAAGTGCCTACAAATAAACGTGTGGTTACATTAAAGGGGGCATCTCCTATGTTAGAGGTCTACATGGAACTATTTGCAGGTAACATAAAACTATGCTTGGGATTTCATTTGCAGTGTTGGGTCAGGATGTGTGTTAGGGAATGGCACCAGCCCAGCGGCATTCTGTATTAAAGGGAATGGCCATGATGCACACGGCCTCAGGAATAATCCCTGGTCCAAAGGGAAGAGGGCTGAATCAAGAGGTAGAGCCTTTGGGCTCTTTTACTCTCCTGAATTTTTGTAGAGGTGCTTTTTGATGGAGGAGGACTGGGGACTCAGGTCAGTGGTAGATTACTTGGTAGGCCAGTGTGAGGCCCCGGGTTCAGTCTGCACCACCAGAAACATAAAAATACTGGATAAGTTCAGGAGTATATATTATAAGAGCCAGGGACCAGCTAGTCTGGTATAGAAATTGTTAGAGCAATGTAAAGGGCCACCCTTGGGCAGACAAATCAGTGTAAGGCTGATTTTCTTTTCCACATCAGAAATAATTTCTAAGGTCAGGAAAAAACGCTTCAATCTGGGGCATGTTACCTGAGGCAGACAATGTAAATGCTGGACCCATGGGGTTCCTGGAGATGTTGGGACTGGACAAGAACTCCGATTCTCTAGCTATGACTTCTGCCTACCTCAGGTAGAGCTTCTCATTTTGTCTTTCTCCAATAACAATAGTAAATTCAACCTACTGCTGGGTTTAAGTGTTGGACTCTAGTGTCCAAACCGAGAAGGAGTCGCCCCCAGAGACCACCTCATACACCACAGCCGATGCAAAAGCATGAGGACTTTATTAATTCTGTCATGACAGGGTCCCCCAGCATTCGGGAAGCTGAGAGACTCCAACTAGCTGGTACAGTCTACTTTTAAAGGAGAAGGCCCCATAGAAACAAGAGGGGTTGTTCCTTGACCATTATGATTGGCTTATTCGAAAAGGGCTAATACCAATAATTGACTGGAGAACTATTGTCAGATCAGATGAGGTAAGAGGTCATTTTGACCCTGTTTCCCAGGGGACTGAGTCAAAACATACGTGTATGGGTAATTGTTCAGGAACTGAGTACGTGCATGTGTAGCTAGCTGTTAGGTCTTTGGTTCCCAGGGGTGGAAGGGAAGCACTGAGACACAGAGGCTGAGAGGGTTTGGAATTGTCAGAAATGGCTTCAGAATTGTCTAAAATCTTACATAAGGACCAGCTATACTCATGTCTCAGCCTTGTAGATATTTGACACACGTGGTCATCCTCTTTCTTCCCTTAGCTGTTGGAATGTGACATTCACCTTTATATTTTCCTCTGTTCTTTGCCGCTATAACAATAGCAAAGTCGGGTAATCTTCCTTTCTTTCCTTTTCTTCTCTTTTTTCTTTCCTTCGTTTTTGATTTTATGAGACAGGGGTCTTCTGTGTAGCTTTGGAGCCTGGAAATTGCTCAGTAGCCCAGACTGGCCTCAAACTCAGAGATCTGCCTGTCTGCCTCCCGAGTGCTGGGATTAAAGGCATGTACCACCACTGCCCAGTTAAAATATATTTTCAAATTGTGGTGAAAAAACAAAATTCACCGACTGGACTTAAAAGTGTAGCATTTAGTGGTGTTAGCAGTTTGTTGAACAAACCAGGACTTTGATTTGTTTACATATTGCTTGAGGGGAGGGCACACAGAAGACAGAAGACAAGTTCTAGGGAGCTTGTGGATCCCAAGAGTCAAACAAATTCTGTCAGACTTGGGGTTAAGAAACTTTACTTTCTGAGCCATCTTGATGACCCTATATTAGTTACTTTTAAATGCATGACCAATCTATTATTTTAACCTGTTACACATTTAAATGTCTAAAACTTTGTGAATGTTTATTGTAGTCATCTGAATGAACCTGAGTACTATGGTCATGACCCTAAAGTTAGCATGTTGAAAAAAGCATCCTCAATGTATCAACATTAAATGTAGGGCCTATACAAAGTGATCGGATCCTGCAGGCCAGAGTGGGTAATGGCATGAGAGGGGGTGAGTTAGCGTCAAGGTGACTTTAACACTGGGGTGAACTTGAGTATGTAGAGCCTACCCTAGCTCTCAGCTATTCCCTTGGGCTGACTAAGTCAGTCTAAAGAAAATTTGTTTTTATTTTATATATTTGAGTATTTGTCTGTGTGTGCATGCCTGGTGCCTACAGAGGTCAGAAGAGGGCGCCGGATCACCTAGTATTGTAGTTACAGGCAGCTTGAGCCACCATGTTGGTGGTGGGAAGAGCTGAGCCATCTCTCCAGCTCTTAATTTAATTTTTTTTCGGTAGTAGCCATTCTTTTCTTTTTTTCTTTTATTGAAACTAGATTTTTTTTTCCTCACACAATATATCCTGATTATAGTTTCTCTTCCCTCTCCTAGTTACCTCCCACCTCTCCATGAGCATGGGAGATCTTTCCATCTACTAGAAGCAATTTCTTTTTTCAAAGACTTGAAGTTTTTACTCTGCAAGTCTTTCAGTTGCTTAGAGTTGCACCAAGATATTTTATTTTATTTGAGGTTATTGTGAAAGGTGTTGTTTCCTTGACTTCCTTCTCATCTGTTTGTCATTTCTATATAGGAGGACTACTGGTTTTTTGAGCCGATCTTGTTTGTATCCAGCCACTTTGAGGGTATTTATCAGCTGTAGGAGTTCCCTGGTGGAATCTTTAGTGTATTTTTTAGTGTATGTATCCTATTATATCATTCACAAATTAGACTTCTTCCTTTCCAATTTAGTGCTTTAGTTAAAACTTAGTTCTATATCGAATAGATATGGGGAGAGTAGACAGTCTTGTCTCGTTCCTGACTTATGTGAAATTGCTTTGAGTTTCTCTCTATTTAAGTTGATATTGGCTATAGACTTGCTGGAAATTAACTTTATTATATTTAAGTATGTTCCTGTATCTCTAATTTCTCCAGGACTTTTTGAATGGCTGTAAGATTTTTGTCAGAGGCCTTTTCTGCATCCAATGAGAACACCATGTGTTTTTGTTTCTTTTAAAAGAAAAAAAAGTCTTTATGAATAGTCAGTCGACAAATGAGTGCTGTTGTTGCTCTGTAGCATCTCTGGGTGCTACTGATGTCTAATGCATTTCTGTTTCCTCATTTTCCTGGCTCTCCTGACAAAGAAGACAGTTGCAGGAAAGCAAGAACAGAGCGTGGAAGAGGAAGGTTAAAACCACGGCATAAGTTTACCAAGGATGACCTGAAGATACTTCAACAATTATTTGAACAGAATCGTTATCCAGATTTCACAACCAAGGAAAATCTGGCACAGGAGTGCAGGTGCACAGTGTATGTGATTGAAGTAAGTCAGATCTCTGCAGCTTTTCACGAGGATATGCCCTTCTGTGGGCCATTCGGAAAATGAAGCAAAGAATCATAGGAAAGCTGACACGTCTTGGCATCAGGCATTGTTAACATGTCATTTTTCTTCTTTCAATTTGACACAATTTAGATAGAAAATAACTTATTATGAGGGACATTTGGAAGCAGGAACTTTAAGGATTTAAGCCCCTCCAGGTCTGGAGAGATGGCTTGAGAGCACAGGCTGCTCTTCTAAAGGAGCTAGGCTTAATGCCCAGCACCCACCCAGCTCTTGCCTCTGGAACTCCAGTTCTAGGGGATTTGACATTCTTTTCTGACCTTTACAGGCATACCACAAGCATGGTACACAGATACACAAGCAGGCAAAACATCCATACAACATAAGATTAAAAAATTTAGGCCATGAATGGTTGTGGATGCCTTTAGTCCATACACTGACATGGGTGCTGTGAGAGGCAGGGGAATCTCTTGGAGACCAGCCTGGTCTACAGAGCGAGTTCCAGGACAGCCAGGGTGACAGGGACAAACCCTGTCTCCAAATAACAGCAACAAATTAAAAGTCATTGGCGTTACCCAGGACAGGAACTGTGATGGTTTTATGCTGGTGATAGCTATGGCAAGGACAAAGTAGGAAGATTTCTGGGTATTGATTTTAGGATTGAAAATGTTGTCCATTTTAAAGGTGGAACAGTCTGCTAAGAGATCAGATATATAACAAGGGAAGGGGAGAAAGGATTGCCTTGAAAAACGAAACTGGAAGATTGGCCATTGGCGTTGTCTTCCTTCCTATGCTGGACAGGCGGGGCTGACTTGATCTTACACGTCCCAGCTATGTGGTTGTTTTATAGTTAATCAAATCTACTTTGAAGTGGGAGCTCATGAGTGTAGCAGAAGCACTCACAACACACTTCTTTGGGATTTTACATTCTTTTGTCTTGTTTGTTTAGGTGGGTTTTTTTTTTCTTTTGGGTTTTCGAGACAGGGTTCCTCTGTGTAGTAGTCCTGGCTGTCGTGGAACTACCTCTTGTAGACCAGGCTGTCCTCAAACTTACAGAGAATCCGCCTGACTCTTCCTCCCAAGTGTTGGGATTAAAGGCGTATGCTGCCGCTGCCACCACTACCCGGCTGTTTGGTTTTTTTTTGTTTTTGTTTTCGAGACAGGGTTTCTCTGTAGCTTTGGAGCCTGTCCTGGAACTAGCTCTTGTAGACGAGGCTGACCTCGAACTTACAGAGATCACAGAGGTCTGCCTGCCTCCCAAAGTTCTGGGATTAAAGGCATGCACCACCACCGGCCAGCCTTTGTTTTGCTTTTTTAGACAGGGTTTCTCTGTGAAGCATTCCTGGCTGTCCTGAAACTCACTCTGTAGACCAGTCTGTCCTTGAACCCACAGATCCACCTGCCTCTGCTTCCCAAACCCTGGGATTAGAGGAGTGTGCCACTACTGCCTGGCAGGATTTTACATTCTTTTACAGTCTTCCTCCATGGTGTTCCTGAGCCTTGGAGGGGTTTGTTGGTATAGATGTCCCTTGGAGAATTGGGCCTCACAAGCACTCAGTACCTTGACTAATTATAAGTCTCTATATTAACTACTGTCTGCTGCAAAAGAAGTACCTTTGATAGGTTGAAAGCAGCACAAATATATGATTATAAAAATAATCCTTGAAAAGACAGGGAAAAATGAAGACAGCCTTTCCTAGGCCTGCACATTATGGTGAAGGCTGTGAGCTGTGCAGCCCCTCCCTCCCCCTCCCGCTTCCATGTTTAAGTAGGGAAGCCTGCTCCAAGCAACCCTGTTGCAGCCTCTGCATCTAGACAGAACAAACAGGAACTGCCCCTTAACACTTGCGGTTGTGTTTATTAAAGTGCGGTAGTGGTGCACACCTTTAATTATTTCCAGCACTCGGGAGGCAGAGGTAGGTAGATCTCTGAGTTTGAGTACAACCTGATCTACAGAGTGAGTCCAAGATAAACTCTAAGACTACACAGAGAAACCCTGTTTCGAAAACCAACATTACACAAAATTTGTAACATGATCATTTAGCAAAATGAGTAGGTTCCTCACTAGTGACTTTAAACTCTGAATCTTCCTGCCTCAGTTTTCCAAGTGCTAGGATTATGGGTGTGTATCTCAAACCCTTATTTATTTATTTAATAATTATGAGAAAGGATTCATTATGTAGCCCTGGCCATCCTGGAACTCACTATGTCAGCCAGGCTGATCTTGAACACACAGAGAGATCCTGCTGCCTCTGCTTCCCAATTATTGGGTTTAAAAGTGTGTGCTCTCAGACCTGTCCTACATCTTTAAATTGTTTTTTTTTTATATAATTTCTACACCTCCCCTTCCCTGCAAAAGCTTTGGACCATGATTTTCATGTATAGCTATTATTTTTAAGGATGCTAAAAATGAAACCAGATGTGGTTAGAACCACATAAAACACCTACCGTGGCATGGCTAAGTCTTGCCTCGTTTTGTGTCACCCATAAGAATATAACTTGTAATTTATTGTATCTTGGCTGGGGGCAGCTAGGTGAAGTATCTAGGAAGTGTTAAGGGGCAGTTCCGGTTTGTTCTGTGTAGATGCAGAGGCTACACAGGGTTGGTTGGAGCAGGCTTCCGTACTTCATTTTTCCCTGTCTTTGTGAGGTCAGGAAGCAAGACAGTAAGGCTGAACCTTACTACCCTGTGAAAGTGCCTGTGAAAATGACTGTGAAACTTGGCAGGGTGGCACACATCTTTACTCCCATTGCTCTGTTGGTGGATCTCTGAGTTTGAGGCATAGTGAGTTCCAGGACAGTCAGATCTACATAATAGGGAGACCCTGTGTCAAAACAAAAGGAAAAAAGAAAAAGGGGAAAGAACACTGTGGGGCAGTGCTAGAAAGCAGATTTGATTAACCATTTCCTCTTTGTCTTTAGAACTGGTTTCAGAATAGAAGAGCAAGGCTATCAAAATTTAGAGACAAAAGTTTTGACACCGGGAGAATGCACAAGAGCCAAGACTACATGCTTACAGGACACCAAGATACCCAGGTGCAAGGTCCCAATTACAGCGTTGAGCAAGTCTCTTATGACCAGGTGGCACCTTTGAGTCTCCCTGTCTATTCTGTGGAGCCCCAGAAAGCTGCTGGTGAATGCTATGGTCCAAAGCAATAAAATGAGATCAAGTGGAGCTGTGTGCTATCAAGGTACCAGTGAAAGTGGATCTTCTTTCAACTGCAAACCAACAAACTTTACTCCTCCCCCTATGTGTGAGCAGTGTTATAAGGGTGACTGACCTGAGATACAAGAAAACCAGTGTTCTCTGTCTTTGGCTGTTCCTGGTGTGCAGAGGCAGATGGATGATGGCAACTATTCCTCGCTGTTCCCAGAACAGCAGCTGAATAATTGCAGAGAACAGCAACAGCTGCAGCGGCCCCAGAGCTACCAAGAGACATCCTTTGCAGACCGGCTCATCCTACAACAGGGTCATAGGGACTTAGGGTAGCGAGTGCCCTTATTGCTCTCAGGGTATCAGGACAAATTTGGTCCAAGTAACAGAGGAGCATCAGGCTCTCAGATGCAGCCTGCACCTCTGCAAGTTGCAGTCAGATCACCAATGCTTCTTTGGCTAGTTGGGCAACAAGGGGCTGACAATAGCTATGTATACTGCCCTGCAGGAGAAGAGTCCTATCAAAACACACCTGCAGGCTCCTCAAGGCTGTGCTGGGACTAGCCTGCAATCCATGAGTTGCAAGAATTTAGGGAGCAGCGTGGGGGCTAAGGTGGAGTCCAGGAGTCTTACAAGCTTCTATGAATGAAACCTTTAACACTTAACAAAGATCCAGGATCCCCATGAGTGGTTGCCTAAGACTTCTTGTACCCAAGAGGAAAGTTTGCAAATGTGAATTGTGACCTGGCCCTAGATATAAGCGTGCGTCCCTGCATCCTAGACTGGCAAACATATCAATTCTTTTAATTTCTATGGACCAGATTGGTGTCTTCTAGGTCCTGGCAGATGGCACAATGCCCCAGCTAAAAATGAAAGCATGGGCCAGACTGGCAACCCAGAAACAAGGCCATCCTGTCAACTCAGGAAGAGTGTCAGGGTCTCATTAGCCATCAACAGCCCAGGTGACTTTATAATGAGGATACTTGTCTTTGATTGTCTCAGAGTCTCCACCTAGCAAACTTTGTCATCATGTTCCCCAGAGTGAACAGCCTCTGGGTCCCTTAAGTTTTCATACAACCAGACAGAGCTTAGCTATAATTTTAGATAGCCACTTCCCCATATTGGCCTGATCAGACCTTAGATGAGGGGAGTAACAGTCACTCAGAGATCCAGTGCCATTTGGCCAAATTTAAGCAAGTGGGGCATTTAGAAGGGATTTGGCTGAGTTAACCCGTAGTTTTGATATTTGTAAATAGATTTTTCTGTTGTTTTGAGACAGGGTTTCTCTGTAGTTTTGGACCCTGTCCTGGAACTCACTCTGTAGACCAGGCTGGCCTCCAACTCACAGAGATCCACCTGTCTCTGCCTTCCATGCACTGGGATTAAAGGCGTGGCCACCACTGCCTGGCTTTGTAATTAGATATTTAAAAATATACACAATGTATTTTGCTATGGTCTGCCCTCCTCCAACTCTTTCCAGAGCCTCCACTGGAGTTTATTTTTTTAACCTTAGTAGTTTGTTTAGATTATTATATTTTGTTTCTGTAGAATGTAAACAATAGTTGTAACATTTTCTAAACTGTGAAAAGGTGGGGGGTTTGTGTGGGGCATGAGGGAGCATCAAGACACACTGTATATGTGCGCTAAATTGTCAGAGAATAAAACAAACAAAGAAAGAAAACCAAAACACATATGCAGATTTTTTTTTTTTAGGCAAAGATTCAACCTCTTGAAGAGTGGGTGTCATTATCTGGCTTAACAGTATCTTTAGACAGTTTCTCTATGTGTTCCCAAGAATTTCTGTCAATTCAACAAGTGCCCCATTTGGATTTCCGATTTTCTTTCCTTTCATTTACTTAATAGAGGCAGTAGCTGTTGATTTCCTCTGTGGTAGAAGCCAGCTAAATTTTTGAAGCTCATCCACAGTAAAGCATCTTGTAGGGAGGTCTGTTCATTTGTGCCTTGTAACATGAGGGCCGGCTTGTTGGGGTTTCTGTCCCGCCTGACACCCCATAGCTGGCAAGTCCCAGAGAAAATCAATCACACAGAGATTTCTATAAGTTATAAAGCTGATTGACCCATTAGGTCAGGCTACTTATTAGCTCTTATAATTTATGTTACCCCATTATCCTTATCTCCATTAGCCACATGGCTCAGTACCTTTCTCAGCTGGGCAAGTTACATGCTGCCTCTTCGGTGGTCTGCGCAGGAATGCAGAGAGCTTCCTGCTTCTCAGAATACTCCGGGTCTCTTTTCTCCACCTCTACTTCTTGTCTGGCTTTCCCGCCTATACTGCCTGCCTGGCCAATCAGCGCTTTATTAAAATATGATTGACAGAATACAGATAATTCTCCCGCACCATTTCCCCCCCTTTTTTTTTAAACAAAGGAAAATACCCATAGTCCATTTGTTAGGAATGTGGGCATAGTATTTCAGGCTATTTCCTGCTGGTTGGGGGCGCTGATAATCTTATGGGAACCTAAAGAAAATTTAGAGTTATAATCAAGTTCTGACTGGAGTATCCTGTGAGTCTTGATCATCTCAGGCAGCAGTCTTGAATCTGTTCTGGATGTAGAAATCTGTCATCTGGGCCATCTGTTCCTATCGGAGATTTCTCAGGTGGCCTTCCTTTATTGAACCTGATTTTTCTTAACTCAGAATCAATCCACAGCCTCTCATTTCCTGTGGAAACAAAAGCAAAATCTCTTCTCCAAAGTAACATATCTTTTGACTTCAATTTTGAAGCCACAGTATTTTCAAAATACCTATCTTGGGTTAGTTCAGCAGCATTTATAAACAAGTCTTTTAGCAGCTGTTGCTCCTTCCTCAACAATCAAACAATTCAAAGAGAGTATAATAACACACAGTATCAAGATTCTCCGTGTATTTTCCATCTTTATGTGGCTTTATTTCAACCTCTATTTCTTTTATTTTTACTTTTAACTTTTGGCTTTTTGAGACAGGTTCTCTGTATACATCTTTGTCCTGGAATAACTCTGTAGACCAGGCTGTCCTTGACCTCACAGAAATCTGCCTGTCTCTACCTCCCCAGTGCTGGGATTAAAGGCATGTGCTACCACACCTTGAACTCAGAGATTTATTCAGAGTTAAGAAAAATCAGGTTCAAAAAAGGAAGACCACCTGAGAAATCTCCGATAGGAACAGATGGCCCAGATGACAGAGTTCTACATCCAGAACAGATTCAAGACTGCTGCCTGAGATGTTCAAGACACAGGATACTCCAGTCAGGACTTGATTATAACTCTAAATTTTCTTTAGGTCCCCATAAGATTATCTGTGCCCCCAACCAGCAGGAAGTAGCCTGAAATACTATGCCCACATTCCCAACAAATGGACTATGGGTATTTTCCTTTGTTTAAAAAAAAAAAGGGAAATGGTGCAGGAGAATTATCTGTATTCTGTCAATCATGTATTTTAATAAAACACTGATTGGCCAGGCAGGAAGTAGAAGCAGGTCAACCAGACAGGAAGTAGAGGCGGGGCAATGAGAATAGGAGAAGCTCTCTCTGCCAGTTCTGCCCAGACCACCGGAGAGGAAAGATGTAAGCTTCTCCGCTGGAAAAGGTACTGAGCCATGTGGCTAATGTAGATAAGGATAATGGGGTAACATAAATTATAAGAGCTAATAAGTAATCTGACCTAATGGGTCAATCAGTTTATAACCTAAGGTAGACTCTGTGTGATTTTCTTTGGAACTTGCCGGCTGTGGGGTACCGGGCGGGACAGAAACCCCAACAAGCCAGCCCCTTTCATGTTACAGTGCCTGGTGTCACTAGTGGCTAATGGTACACAAACAACTCTGCAGTAACACAGTCCAAACCTTTGAATAAACAAGCAGTGCATTCATTCATGGAGGTCAAATGACAATTTGCAGGAACATCTTGCCCTCTGTGGGTTTTGAAGATCAAACTTTGGGTCTTTAGGGCAAATGGCTGAACCAGCTGAGCCATCTTTCTGGCCCAAACGGAGGTTCTTTGTCTTCCTCCCTAGGACTGCAAATATGTGTCACTAGGTATGACGGCTGTGTGCTGGGCTGCGAGCCCGGGTGCTTGTGTATACACTCACAAATAAAGATTTAACAAGGGGGTTGGAGAGATGGCTCAATATTAAGAGCTTGTTTTCACAGAGGACCGAGATTTAGTTCCCAGCACCTTCATGGTAGTTCACAACTATCTGTAATTACAGGGAATTCAATGCCTTGTGATTCTTTTTTTTCTGAGAAAAATTTTATTGGCCTTTTGGATAAAATTTATTTGCCAGGAAGGATGATCCCATCATACCCCTGCTGGAACCAGCGCATGTCTTCCTCTTTGCTGATTCTGTGTTTGACCCCAGTGCAGCCTGTCCTGCACTTCTTGTCTGCGATGCTGAAACCTGGCCTGCCCAGCACCACATAGAAGTCCAAGTCGTAGATCCCAATGCTTGGCTCATATCTGATGTCCAAGTCAAAGTGTTCTTGAATCCCACAGCCAAAGTTCCCAGTATCTGAGAAGTTATTTTTCCGAAACCCATACTCCCGCACCTTCAGGCCTTTCTCCAGAATTTCTTCTGCCTTGGCTCCATGGACAGGACAGTGAGCAGAAATGAATCTTCTCCTTTCTCCCGATGCCGAAGGACCTGTCGGTGTACCTAGCTTTGGAAAAGACAGGTGTCTGGCCTTTGAGCTGTTCTAACACCTTGGCTGCCGGGGTCAGCCTGTCTCCGCTCTCCCCAACACAGATACTGAGGCAGAGCTGGCGGATTTGAAGTTTGATTTTAAAGAACTCAAAGTTGCTGTCCTATTTCTCACCAAGACAAACACAGTGGTGATCTTATATACAATGGACAATCCCTCGCTCCAAGTGAGATGTCTGAACAAGTTGGGGACCATTTTTTTTTAAATATGGGTTTTTATCTGTCTTTGGTGACCAGCTGAAATTTAAGTTCTGTTGAAAGGAAAAACAAGTTTAAATTATATAAGTGAGTTTGAAGAACAAAACAATAAGAATGATTGGCAATTGGATCACCCTCAGAGTCAGAGCAACTTCTAAGAAGTGTGGCCAACAACACACACAGTAGCATCTAAAGAAAAAAGAATTAGCCGGGCGGTGGTGGCACACACCTTTAATCCCAGCACTATGAGGCAGAGGCAGGCAGGTCTTTGTGAGTTTGAGGCCAGCCTGGTCTACAAGAGCTAGTTCCAGGACAGGCTCCAAAAGTCACAGAGAAACCCTGTCTCGAAAAACCAATAAATAAGAAAAGGAAAAAAGAACCAAAGAGAGAATAGCTGGTTCCAGCTTAATCAGTCTTTTAAAAAGCCTCCAATTAACTAAAGTCAGAGAGTTGACTTTCTGTCACCAAGAAAAACAATTTAAAAGTTTAAAATACTTGTTTTGGGTCATAGAAATTGTTTTTCTGTTTTTGAGATTTACTTTGTACGTGTGCATATGGGTGTCTTGCCTGCATATATGTCTGTACAGTGCTTAAAGACACGGGAAAGGGGGCTGGAGCCCCTGGAAATTGGAGGTACAAATGCTTTATCGATGCTTTGTGGGTCCTGGGGATTGAACTTAGGTCTTCTGAAGAATAGTTAGTACTTTTAACCATCAAATCATTTTTAGCCCCCTTTCTTTTTGAAACAAGGGTTTGTGTATCCCAGAATAGCTTAGAACTCCCTATGTATCAGATTTACCGTGTAGCACAGAATGACTTTGAACTTTTGACTCTTCTGCTTCTACTTCCTTAGCGCTGGTATGCACCATCATACTTGGTCAGTGCAGTGCTGTGGGTTGAGTTTAGGGTATTACATGTAGCACGAAAACAATGCCAACTGAGCTATATCCCCAGCACACAGACTGTGTTTTTAAAAAGATCATTTGCTCTGTTTTGGATCTTCAGAAAGGCCATAAGTAGTGAGGAGTGCTTGGCTGAGCAAAACTGCTTACATCCTATGGTGTCAGGAAGTGAAAAGCAAGGGAGAGAAGACAGGGCTTGGGGCACCACTATCTCTTTCAAAGCACACCCTCAATGGCCTTCCACTAACCATACCCCACCTCTTATAGGCCCCTCTATTTCCCAGCAGCACCACAGGAGGGCTGTCCCTGCTGCCCACTCCTCTTCGGCAGGTATCCCACACTCCTGGCATGTGTGCTTGCACTATACCGACTGGAAAACAGATCAGAAAGAACATTGCCTTCGAAGGCATACTCTGAGTGAGCCAGCTTCCTCTAAGGATCACATCACCTCCCAGCAGCACCACAGCAGACAACTAGACAACTGCATCTTTAGTATATAGCCCCTGAGTTCATTTGAGAAAGTATAATTATAATGTAATGTAATATAATGATATAACGCTTATCTATTTGTCCTTTCTTTCTTTCTTTCTTTCTTTCTTTCTTTCTTTCTTTCTTTCTT